CACTATACAAGCCAATGGTGACACATACAAACTCTTACGTTGGCTTGAACGGTTGCTGTTATCATTTACTCATTAATATCACCTATTCCGTAATTAAGGGTAATTATTATAAAGTATATTAATTACTAGACGTAATGCAAATAGATAGAGGAGTAATATATGTGCACCAGTGGTTAACCGATGATCCCATGTCGTTACGGTCGCGTTTTGCTTAGATTAAATATTACAATACGACGATAGACGCTTTTGAGGTGTACAAAGTCACATTACACACCTGTACGGATTGTTGATCAACAACGAAACCAATAATCGGCACAGCTCGGCACAGCTCGGCACAGCTCGGGCCGGCGCAGCTCGCGACGTGCTCTAGCTTAGATCTGACGTTATTTGGCAAGCTGCTATTGGAAACTGACGTAGATTTTGAAAAGTCGTACCTAATGTGATAATCTATATATTTAGGAAAAGAAAATTATATGAGTTAGAAAAGTGTGCGTCTTAACATTGCGTCAAAGGATTGTTTGAATTGCACTAAAGCGCCGGCTGAGTGCCGGTGGCATCGCCGCAACGTTTATAGTCAAGGAGCTAAGGTTCCAAATCGATTTTAATTAACTTAGGTCGAAAATTGTATCCTCGTGTAGCTTAGGTTCAAATTAATATTTTAAATATATGTAGAAAATTACCTTATGAGAGATGTGGTGTTGGTGGATGTATTTTTGCATACGAAGAGGAGTGGAGCGCGCCCCTTCGCGGACACTCCGCGTTCAGTGCTCTAATTATATCATTTCTCAAAATAAAACTATCTTTTTAGTTATCGTAATGTAACGAAAATAAATATTTTGGTTCCTTCTACATTTTTTGAGCACTGAAGACTTCTAAATAATAATAAAAAAATCTTTTTAAGTTCTCTGAATGCGACATTATCACAGGATATACTTTGTTTTTCTTGACACTGTTTCTTTCCTATCTTTAAATCCATGAAATAGGTAGTAGTTAGGGGACTTTTTACATTTTTTACAAGCAGTTGGGTGTAGTTGATGGCGTGTGTCCTCCACACAAGGAATCTGTAAATGTCGACAAAGTAAGAGTAAATATTTATAACGTAGACGTAACGGGGAATAAGTCGCGGTAGCGATTAGTTCGGACATCGAGAATGCTTTAGTTATTTAGGATTTGTATGGATGTGTGTAACAGAAAGATATTTAAAAGTATTTAATTGTAACCGTTACATTTATTATGTATAGCGAGGCTTCCTCTCAAAGCTTTATGGATATGGTATAAGTATACGGAAATCTGAACATACTCACTACGGCGTAAGGTTGAAATTTGTACTGCGGTCGTGTTGACAGTGTCGCCTTGTATTATACGATACGTTTAGTTTCCTATAACCGTTACATTTGTACATTTTAATTCTTCATCGGTCTAATTAAATAGATAACACAACTGTAAGCAACACGAGGTCGAAATTATTTTTTATCTTTGGTGTTAAAGGATGCAAATATATTAGAGTGATGTACAGAACAAAACACGTGTACATTTATGTCAAAAAACATAGTTTTTCTCCGATATTGGTTTACGTATTAGTAGAGTGGTGCTCACGTAGTCAACTGCATGGTCCCACTCGAGGAGAGCGCTCTTTATTTGCCACAGCTCGGTGTGTGGCATCGCTGCCAAATGCAAGGTGCCAACTGACGCCGCGCGTGTGTGTATTGTCTGTCTGTCCGCGCGCAGACTCCGCTCCGCCCGTCCTTTCTCTCATTGTTATATGAAGGCTTGTTAGCTCTCGTCCACTTGTCTTTACTTAGTTTTACTTTGTTTTATATCATCCGTAGTCATTATGTTAATTAACCGCCTCGTGCATGGCTTCGTATATTTATATTTTAGTCTGTGTATGTTGTTTTCGGTCGGCGAAATGATCTGCGTCACTGTGCGTTGTGTCGTGCGACGATTTAATCAGATCCCGGCTTATCAATATTATGATTGCTTTAATCGTAGAGAAGATA